GTTTTCCCGGGGGGTCCCATCCTAACCTCCAAAATACAATACAAAATCATAGTTTGTCCTCTCAGCTTGGACGTCCTGTCGACCACGTCGCAAAATGCGGGCAGGAAGGGGACGCGGCGCATACCCCGCGCCCGCCCATCCAATCCCTCCCATCCTGATCTGCAAAAGCCAATACAAAAATGCGTGGCAGGGGTGGGACGCGGCGCACACCCCGCGCCCGCCCATCCAAACCTTCCCATCAGAAAAAAGAGTAAAAAGTTGGGGCCTCCTGGACGCCTCCTTGTGCACTCCCATGAATCCCATGGGCGCCTGGGGCCCCGTGGGGCCTCCTGGGGCCTCCTGGGGCCTCCTGGTGGTTCGTGGGGCCTCCTGGGGCTTCCTCGGGCCCCCCCGGGCCTCCTGAGGCGTCCTGGTGCCTCCTGGGGCTTCCTGGAGCATCCTGGGGCCTCCTGTGGCTTCCTGGGGCATCCTGAGGCCCCGTGGGGCCTTCTGGAACCTCATGGGCCCTCCTGGAGTCTCCTGACGCTCGAGGGCTTCCTGAAGTTTCCTGGGGCCTCTTGAGGCGGACCCAGCCGTGGCTGCGGGAGCGCTCCAGATGGCTAAGGGGTGACGAACGCCCCAAAAAACGAACCTGCTGTGATTCCCGACCCGTCTCATTGAGTGGTTTTCTGGCCTCAGCTCCGGCTTCTGACGGCCGTTCGGGACGATTCTGGCACCCCTGCAGCGCCCTCGGCGAGGCGCGGCTGCCTGAGCGCATCCCGAGGCGGGGACGACTCCATCGCAGATCAGGTTGTTTCGTTCAAGTCGTCGTCGTCGTCGACGTCGTCGTCGTCCTCGTTGGCCTCGTCGTCGTCGTCGTCGTCGTCGACGTCGTCGTCGTCGTCGTCGTCGTCGTCCGCATCAGCTGTACCAAACCGGCTGGCCGGTGTGACTTCGGCCCCCAGTTGTGCCAGCTTTGCTTCTTATGTTGTGGGAGGGCGGGTGGGACTGGGCATGCCATGCTTGACTCGCTCGAGCTGGCTACAACGACTACTACTACTACTACTACTACTACTACTACTACTACTACTACTACTTCTACTACTACTACTACTACTACGGCTACTACTACTACCACTACTACACTTATTACTACTACACTTATTACTACTACTACTACTACTACTACTACTACTACTACTACTACTACTACTACTACTACTACTACTACTACTACTACTACTACTACTACTACTACTACTACTACTACTACTACTACTACGACTACTACTACTACGACAGCTACTACTACAACTACTACTACTACCATTACTCCTACTACTACTACTACTACTACTACTACTACTACTACTACTACTACTACTACTGCTCTGCTGTTACTACGACTACTACAACTACTACTACTACTACTACTACTACTACTACTACTACTACTACTACTACTACTACTACTACTACTACTACTACTACTACTACTACTACTACTACTACTACTAGTACTACTAATACTACTTCTACTACTACGACTACAACTTCTACTACTTCTACTACTACTACTACTACTACGACTACTACTACTACTGCTACTACTACTACTACTACTACTACTACTACTACTACTACGACTACTACTACTACTACTATTGGGACTACTTCTTGTTATTCTTCTTCTTCTTCTACTACTACTACTACTACTACCACTACTACTGATCGTACTAGTGCTACTACTACTGCTACTACTACATACTACAAGTACTACTACAAATAATAATACTGCGACTACGAATCATACTGATATTAATACACACACGAATGCAAGGAACATGCATTTTTCATAACAAGGAAAGGACGTGGAATCGGGCAGACTTCATGGGCCCGGCCATGGTATTTATCCACACGCCACTCCTCAAAATCCCCCGTGTCAGGCGCCCACGGTATTGACACGCCGTTCTTCCACGTCACCTCGAGAAGCCCAGAGCGACCGTGCATCGGGGAAGGCCATTGGCGGAGGAGCCGAAGGGGCTGCGTGCAGCAGTGTGACGCCCGCCCTCCTCCCCCTCCCCTTGTCGCCGCCCCAGTTTCGGGCCGCCCGAGCCTGGCCATCCACGACCCTCCACTCCTGTCGGAGGATGCCAACTCTACACAGGGGGGGAGAAGGGAGGAGGAGGGAGGGGGGAGGAGGAGGGAATATACATACGTATGTGGGGGGAGAGGGGGGGAGGAGGGGCAGGGAGGAGAGAGGACGCCAACTGTACAGAATGGGGGGGGGGGAGGGGGGAGGATGAGGGATCCACGGGGACCCGCTACCATCCACGGTGTGGCCGGAGGAGGACAGACGAGTGGCAAAGGGGGAGGACGGGGAGGAGGGGAGGAGGGAAGGGAAGGAGGGAGGGAGGAGGGTGAGGAAGGAGGCGGGAAGAGGAGGCGGTGGAGTCGCCCGACTTCGCGCGTCGCGCCTCGCAGCTGCGCGAGGCGCGGCTGTCCTCGCGCCTTCGCGCGACCCCCCTTCCACCGGAGGAGGGGCGCGAGGCTCCCCCCAGGCCCAGGCCGCGAAGCGAGAAGCGCGACCCTTCCCCTGCGCGCGCCCGCAGAGCGGTTGGCCCCACGCTGCCCAGGAGCCGGGGACACACGCGGCTGGACTCACCGGAGGCCTCCGAGGTCAGGTCGGGCGCGTCCCCCTACAGGCGGATTTGGGAGGAGAAATGTAAAATATCCAAAAACATTTAGAGATACACAACACATGCTTGAGAAATCGTCCCAGACTATTTTTGAAGATCCCTCCTGTAGAGGGACATGCCCGACTCAACTCCGAGGATGGGGCCCGAGCAGAATGCGCGATAGGGATGCAAGGGCCTTGGACGCCCATCTCGAAGCAGTTCGAGCAGGGCGCGGCAAGCGAAGGCGGCCCAGGATGGGCCGAATGGGACAAGGATGCAAGAGTATCCCTAGGAAGGTTGCACATACTTACTATGCGGGTTGACTGTAGATGGGGTCAGGTGATCGTGCCGCATCGCCGATGCATCACCGATGCATCGACGATGCATCCACGATGCATCGGCGACGTCGGCGATGCGTCGGCGACATCGGCGCGGAGAAGATCGGGCTCCACATCGAGCCTCGTCGCCGATGCATCGGCGATGCGGAGCGACCCTCCGACCCCATCTACTACTCCGACCCCTATCTAGGAGGCCTAGGTTCGCACTTGGAGGAAGCGCTACATGAATACAAGCTTTCCACGCGGATTTCTCGGATCCGCCCTGGGACCCCCCTGGTGGCGCCTCCGGCGCTGCTCCAGGCGCGCTCCGCGCACCAGGGAGGGGGCTTCAGAGCCGATCCAAGAAGTCCGCGCAGGGCTCCGAAGCTTCCTGTTCATGCAGCTCTTCCTTCGAGATTCACACGTGGAAACACGAGTGGCGCACCTATCCGTGTCCGCCCGCGCCTTCGCCACTCTGGGTTTCTGGCGAACCAACAACACACACACACCCATTCCCATAGGGGGGTCGGAGAGGGCTACGGGTGCGTGTTGCCGGATGGGGGTCCCCGCTCAAACACGGGAGCGTTCCCCAGGGTCCGACAGCCCGCACCCATACGCATAGCCAGTCCTCCTCCCAGCGACCCCCCTCTGGGCATGGGTCCGTGCTGCTCGGTCGTCAACTTTGGCTCCCGGGGAGCGATCGCGCGGATCTCCGCTGCCGCACGCACACGCGCCGCGAAGGAGCGCACCGCACACCCGCGGGGCCGCGGCCCGAGGGCCTGGCCAGCGGGGCCGCGGCTAATTATGTTCCGCCCACGGTGGGAAAACGGGAGCGCGCTCCTGCGGAGCAACTCGCGATAGTAGATATGACGCCCCTTGCCGGGGACGCCCCCGCCTCTCGGGCGCTGGCACGGCTGGGTTCCGCGGGACCTGGTTTTTCGTGATGGGCACCGGGGGAACGCCCCCCCCGCCCCATTCCACGAACCGGAACTGCCGTCACCCGAAGAACGCCAGCTACGGCAGACCTGGCTTGGCGATTCCAGCCCATATTCGGGGCTTCGGGGCCCAATCACTAACCGGCTCCCCTTAACCGGGGTCCTGGCTATACCCGAGCCTCCCCCCCCCACCCTGGGAAAATTACGATTCGCGCCAGCGCCGTCTGGGAATGGCTAAAAGGGTAGCTTCTTCCCAGACGACGCCAGCGCAAACCGTGACGTGCCCGCCCTCCCCCCCCTTCCCTGGCATGGGCCGTTCTCGCGCGAAGATGAAAATGACGGGCTCCATCCAGAGGTGACGCGCCGGACGCACATATGGAAACCCAGCGTGCCCGGCCATTATAGAAGGGCCGAGCACCGGAAAAATATCTGGCCATATGTGTTATCCAGCTCTCGCCCATCCCCGCCACGATATGCGTATCCAGCTTACCAGCAGTAGAAGCTCACCGATCCTGGTCAGAGTAAACGGGAGACAGATTGAGGACAAAACCGAATGAGGACGGGTCGAGCATCGTTGGGAGCTGGCGCGTCTGCAGTATGTCTCGGGCGCCGTGGCCGTCCCAGAGCACTCCAGCACGCTCCGGGAGCGTTCCAGGTCGCGCTGGAGCGATTTGTCCTCATCCCAGTCCTGCCTAGCAAGCCCATCCTGGGCCAAGGGAGCGTCATGTACGCACCCCTGCCTTGATGAGGAGGGTGTGCCCACCATGGGGGGGGGGTCTCTAGACACCAATCAGGGCCACATCGTGAGAAAAACGACAGACTACCTCACGCGCTGCGACGCTCAAACTTCTTTGGGATCGACAAACAGCCAGGCGCCGACACACATACCTGCCACAAGTGGAGTGGCTGCCGCGACGAATGACGGGATGATCCTGGATGACTTACCCACGAGGACAGCCACGCGACGGACGAACGGCGGGATGAACCCTCTGTGACTTGCCCACACCGCCGCCCACCAACCCTGGGCCCAGGACCAGCCCAGCCACAGGGCCCGCGAACGCAGGAGCGCAGACAGCCGGCGCCCTGCGATCCTTGGCCCCGCCAGCGAGGTCCAGGGCGAGGACGTCGTTGTAGACCCGGAACTCCGTGGTCTCGTGGTGCGCCTTCACGTCCGCGGCGTCCTTCTCCGTGCTGCTGGCAAGCAGCTCCATGTCGGGCGTCCAGTGGCCGCCCACGGTCACGACCTCGCGCCGAATCTGTTGAAGGGGCCCCAGGACAAACAAATAAACACACACAATTAAAACGATTCCCCATATTTTCCTATATGTTTGGCGTTTTTGTCTTCCCCCCCACTTCCCATATTTTCCCATCGGGAATCGACGATTAATTGCGTCTGTGTTTTTTCCCTCCTGATCTGTGGGAGTCCTTCTCTGCTGGGCAGAGGAGGTCACCTTAACATTGGCTCCTCCTGCCTTGGCATTTGGTATTCCCGTTCTTGGCTCGCGCTCGACAGGTGCTTGCATCGCTTTGTGTCTCCGTTTCTCCTATGTGGGTCGTCAGCAACAGCGTAACACGAAACTGAGGGCACAAACAAAACACACACACACACACACACACGCACACACACGCACACGCACACACGCACACACACACACACACACACACACGCGCACACACACACTTTTTAAGCCGCCGGCGCAGAGGGCCCTCAGGCGCGAACAGCAGATGGAAGTGCGAATTGCGACCGAACCTTGTCGATAGCGCAGCGCACAAGCGACGTACACTGCAGAATGCAAGCGATGGGTGTTAGAGAATCTGTAAGCCCAATCGAAACATGCAGAGGCCAAAGACGAGGAACAGTACACACAACGCTTGCAAGAACAACTGAGCTCTGCCTCCACGCTCCAGCCATCCACGCCACAATCGAAACCGTCCTGGGCTGCCCGCGACCATCCGAGGCTGCGCCCGTGGGAATATGCGGCCTCTTCGGCGCTTGTTTGTGGCCGCTCCGAGGGCACCAGGACATTGAGAGCTGAAGCTTGCGTCGGGACGACGGTGGCGTCACGGCGTTCCAAGACTTGGGTCGGGCATGTCCTCCTACAGGGGGATGTTGGATAAAAATGAAGAAGAATAATCAAACGAAGATATTCAAAAATAGTAGAAAAATCGTCCTCAGACTATGTTTGTACTATTTTTGCCGATTCCCCCTGTAGAGGGACTTGCCCGACTTAATCCAAGACCTCTGGTGTAGTGATTTGCTCCATCCGTTGGTCCCCAGTCTCTCGACCCCTTCCCAAGAACCGTTTTCTCTTGCCCCGACAACCTTCCGACGGCTCCGCGGGGACCGTGCGCGGTCCCCAGGAGCCGGAAAGTGGTGCGAAGACGCTATGCGTGAACATATCACATCCTCGGTGGAGGCCGCCCGAGTACAGTCGGGGCCTTGACCCAAGGAACCCAAAATAAGGAACGAAGCCCCTTTTTGTCCAGAAGTTAAACTTCGATTTCCCATCGAAAACATAAAAGGAACACCTGAGGCAAGCTGCAAAACACTTCAGGAACGCGGAGCCCCTCCCCAACGAAAAGGGTTCCTTCTTCAGGGCCTCAACTGTAGGGCCGGCGTAGATGGGGTCGGACGTTCGCGCCGCGCCGCCGATGCATCGGCGGCGCGGGAATGGAGCAAACCGGACTCCGAGTCGCGCCGCGGGGCACGCGCGGTGCTCCGAGACCCCATCTGCTCTGCCAGAAGAAGAACAAACGGCAGAAAGATAAACTTTTTGCGCGGAAGCATCTATAAGTGGAGCCCCCTGCCCTCCTCCTCCTCCTCCTCCTCCTCCTCCTGCTCCTCCTCCCCCTCCCCCTCAATCATGTCTCTCTCCCTCTCCCTGCGCAGTCTCTGGCCCCCCCCTCCCTGGCGCGCGGATTTCTTGGACCTGCTCTGGACCCCCCCTCCCTGGCGCGCGGAGCGCGCCAGGGGCGGCGCCTCCGGCGTCGCTGGGGGGGGCCCAACGCGGATCCAAGACATCCGCGCGGAGCGCCAAAAGTTTATGCTCATGGCGTTTTTGTTCTGCTTCGATCTTCGGGTTGGGCGAGAGGGGGGAGCGGCAACGATGGGGGCCACGAGCGAAGGGAACCCCACCCTCCCCCTCAGAAATCGTGGGGGGCAGGGGTGGGGTTAGGTCGGGCATGTCCCCCTACAGGGGGATTTTGGACGAAGAATAAAACATGTTCAAAACATGTTCAAACATATTATAAAAAACCCATACTATTGTTTTGACTAGCCTCATGCCCGTGAGAATAAACACTAGGGGATAATAAAGTTCGGGGTTCAGGGAGAGATAATAAAAGTAGCCCAGCAGACCTCAGCATAATCTCGAAGTAAGAGATGATCAATAGGAGACCAAGCCGAGCACGTTTTGAGACATCCTTGGCGTTTAGTTTTCATAGAAATATCCTCAACAATGGCTTATCTCTCATGAAAATTGTTTTTTGTAAGTGCTCGTGTAGGGTAGCTCATGTGCCTCAATTTCCATGGATAATCAACCCCAGAGATAAAAAAGTTCAGGCGAGCGTGGGGACAGAGAGAAATATAAAAGAAGAAGAATACAGTAGAAGAATAATAAGAAAGAAGAAGAAGAGGAGAATAAGAAGAGGACGAAGAAAGGAAAAATCCAAAGTTCCAAATCTATCAATTTTAAGTTACAAACGCTTTATGAACATTGATTTTAAAGTGCTCGTGTAGGGTAGCTCATGTGCTTCATTTTCCATGGATAATCAACCCCAGGGATAAAAAAGTTCAGGCGAGCGTGAGGACAGATAGAAATATAAAAGAAGAAGAGGAAAGTAGAATAATAATAAGAACATTGCTCGTTTCGTTTGAGTCTGCCTCCCAAAATTATTGGTTTCGCTTGACACATCCTGAAAAAGTGTGATCGCTTCGCTTGATGTTGCTATATCAACATCGCTTGATGTTGCTATCTCAACATAGCGTTTCGAGGTGATAATGAAGTTCGGCCTCAGCGCTCGCCGCCCAATTTGAATTTTGTATAGGGCGACGATAATCAACTCTAAACACTGAAGGGGGGGGGTCCCTTTCTTATCATCGGCATGCGGTTATTTTTGAATAATCCTCCTGTATAGGGACAGGCCTGACTTAAGGGTAGGGTTCGCATGTGCCCCCCGAAACGAGCGGAAGAGCGCACGAGCTGCATGCAGCGGGCTTTGCCCTTCCGGCGCCCCCTGGCGCACAATGGGGCGGCGGCCGTGTGTCGAGGTTTGCGCGCCTGGCGGCGGGCCGCAACCGACTGCACATGCAGCAGAGCTCGTGCTCGCTCATTCCCCCCCCAGGCTAATTCGCCTCGATGCCCTGGCCCCGTCCAGTCGATGATGTTCAGAAGGTGTGTTCAAAGGAGCCCAGGGACACACGTACGAATACACACCACAAATCCCAGGCTTCCCCATAGCTCCTCATATCTTCTGGGTCTTCGTCTTCCCCCCCACTTCCTACATTTGCTAATATTTTCCTGGGAATCGACACTGAGCTGTGTCTGTGTTTTCCACCTCCTGAGTGTTAGCACCAACGTGTGCTGGCGCCAACGTTTGCTTGTCCACCGACACCACTCCATGCGACGCAGGCGACGTGCGTGATGAGAGCCGATACTGGCTGCGTAAAGCTGAACGGGGCATACACGCACTGAACTGACGCAAGTCCTTAAGATCATCGATCCGAGCTCCCACTAGAAATACACAACACAATAAAACACACCATAACCACAAACTTTCGAAGGTCCACTCCGATTTCCTGCACCCCTCTCCCGCCAGGGGCTGCGCCAGAGGCGCCGCCAGGAGGGTCAGGTGCAGACCCAAGACATCTGCGCGGATCCGAAGCTTTGTGTGCATGGAGGGAGGCCTGACATCCCTCATAACAAGCACCTCGACAGGCGACCCCCTCTCAGTAATCACACCTACGGCAGGCATCGAACAAGGCTGTTCAGTAAACGTCCAGGGCTGTTTAGAAAGCGCACCTGCGGAAATCATCGAACGGGACAAGGCTGTTTAATCAGAAAGAAGAAAGCACGGCATAACCGTAAACTATTGGCTCTCCGCGTGCATTTCTTGGATCTGCGCTGGACCCCCTTCCCTGGCGCGCGGGGCGCGCAAGGGGCGGCACCGGAGACGCCGCCTGGGGGGCCCAGCGCGGATCCAATACATCCGCGCGGAGCGCCAAAAGTTGATGTTTATGTTTACGGCGCTTTCCCTTCTTCGAGTCGTAACCGCCCAGGGCTGTCTGGGAAGCGTTAGCTCTGGGGGTCGGGGTGGACTTCCCCCCTTCTGAGGAAAACGACCCAGCCGGTGAGGAGCACGAGCAGGCCGGAGGGGTGCCCCTCGCCGAGGCCAGGCCGCTCAGGGGCTGTCTGGGAAGCGTCAGCTCTGGGGGTCGGAGTGGATTTCCCCCCCTTTTGCGGAGGACGACCCAGCCAGTGGGGAGCACGAGCAGGCTGGGGGAGCTCCTCGCCGAGGCCAGGTCGCCCAGCTGCTCCCACTCGTCCGTGCGGCCGCTCGGCAGCGGCACTCTCCACGTGTCCCTGGATGAGAAGGTAACAAGAAACACCTCCCTCCTCCTCCCTCCTCCCTCCTCCTCCCCCCTCCTCTTCCTCCTCCTCCTCCCTCCTCCTCCTCCTCCTCCTCCTCCTCCTCCTCCCCCCTCCAGCCACGTCGGCGATGCCAGGAGCGGGGCCGTGTTCGCGCTGCGCGCGGCCGCGACATGGCCATGACGTCCTGAAGATGTCGTGGGCCTCCACCGCCCTCCGCCCCCGCCCCACCAGGCGGCCTGGCGGACTGGCCACACTCGCGCTGCTGACGGTGATGCGCTTTGTGGTGTGGAACCTGCTAAGCCTGTCTGACCGCGACAGAGAGTTGGAGATCGCATACGAGTATAACACGGCGGACGCGATCATCCTGACTGGCACCCGGAAGACGACTGAGACGCCGTAAAAAGTGGAGGACCTGCCGCACTTCAGGGCCGTCCACCTCGGCTGGAGCAAGAAGGCGCGTTTCAGCAACAGATCGTGCGGCAGATCCATCTTCCTCAACAAGGTCATAATCAGAAGCAAGCAGATCATCCGCATTTGGAACCCACAGATAGCGCTGCAGGGCCGTGCTGGCGCGCTAAGGCTACGCAGCAAGACGTACGACATCGTTGGCCTCTATTTTTGCCCGAAGAGCAGAGACGGACGAGAACAACACC